AAAAAAAAAAAAAAAAAAAAAACTAGAGCTTTGCCCACCCGCTGGAACCCCCTTCCTAAGTCTCTAAGATCAGAGTTTTATCACCTAACTGTGCATTCCTAGACACTGTAATTTATCTGTAAATCTACAATTTATCTGTAAATCTTTCATTTTGTTAAATGCAGTAAAATCACATGATATAAAATTAGCCATTTTAATGTGAACAATTCTGTGGCATTTAGTACATTCACAGTATTGAGCAACTATCACCTCTATCTAGTTCTACAACTTTTCTGTCACCTCAATGGGACACTCTGTACCCATTAAGCAGTAGCTCCCATTCACTCCTTCCCCCAGCCCCTGGCAACCACCAGTCTGCTTTCTGTCTCTACGGATTTGCCTATTCTGGGTGTTTCATGCAGTTCCGTGAAAATGGAATCCTATATGATCTTTGTGTCCAGCTTTGTTGACTCAGCATGGTGGTTTTGAGGTTCATCCATGTTTGTAGTTCTTTTTTATACATTAAGTTATAACTGCTAATAAAATGCTTATAAGAAGAAAAGGTGGCCGGGCTCGGTGGCTCACGCCTATAATCCCAGCACTTTGGGAGGCCGAAGGTGGAGGCTCGCTTGAGCTCAGGAGTTTGAGACCAGCCTGAGCAAGAGTGAGACCCTGTCTCTAATAAAAATAGAAAAAAAATTAGCTGGGTGTTGTGGCATGCACCTGTGGTCACTGCAACTCGGGAGGCTGAGGCAGCGGGATCGCTTGAGCCCAGGAGTTTGAGGTCGCTGTGAGCTAGGCTGATGCCACTGCACTCTAGCTGGGGTGACAGAGCGAGACCCTGTCTCGGGAAAAAAAAAGAAAAAGAAAATGTGCTTCAGGCCCTTTGACCTGATGCCTAAGCCCCTTCCAGTTCTACATCTTGCCATGTGGACACTCTCCTCTTTATTCGTTCGCCCTCCCCGCCTTTTTTTTTAAGAGATGGGATCTCACTGTGTTGCCCAGGCTCAAGTGATCCTCTGGCCTCAGCCTCCCAAGTAGCTAGGACTACAGATGTGCACCACGTGCCCATCAAGCAATTAAAGTTTAAATTTTAGGCCGGGTGTGGTGGCTCATGCCTGTAATCCTAGCACTCTGGGAGGCTGAAGCATGGAAGATCGCTTGAGCGCAGGAGTTTGAGACCAGCCTGAGCAAGAGCAAGACTCTATCTCTACTAAAAATAGAAAAAAAGCTAGTTGGGCATTGTGGCATGTGCCTGTAGTCCCAGCTACTCAGGACACTGAGGCAGGAGGATCCTTTGAGCCCAAGAGTTTGAGGTTGCAGTGAGCTACGATGACACAACTGCACTCCACCCAGGGCAACAGAACGAGACTCTGTCTCAAAAAAAACCCACAAGTTCGAATTTTAAAAATGTGGTAGGAGAGTCAGGCATGGTCACTTGAGCCCAGGAGTTCGAGTCCGGCCTGGGCAACATAGTCTCAAAAAAAAAAAAAAAAGGTACTTCTTTTAATAGGTTTTTAATGACAAAAGAAATCCCTGAATACATCTTTCGTGTAAAAGTATAGACCAAAAAAATTCCCTTTAACTCCCTTCTCTAATCTTGGCCCTTTTATCTTGCCTCCTGTCCCTACAAAAGGAACAACGACTGGTAGTATAATTCAAGAAAACAAGGGTAATTGGATCTCCTGGGGAAAGCCTGAAAAACATTAACTGTGCTTCTCTTTAGAGGAGGGTACATGGAATTTTTTTCTCCTTTTTGCTTAGCTGTGTTTTCTGATGTTGTGATCAGCAAAAACACCTTTTATTTGGATATAAAAGAGGAATGCCGGAGTGTGACTTCCTTCACCGTTTTGTGGGATCTTGGGCATGTGGTGTTACTTTCAATAGATTTTATTTTTTAGGTCTGTGTTTGTTTATTGTTTTTTGGACGTTTTGAGACAGGGTCTCACTGTGTTCCCTAGGCTGGCCTCAAACTCCTGGGCTCAAGCAATCCTCCCACCGCAGCCCCCCAAGTTGCTGGGACTGTAGGTGCAAGCCACTGTGTCCGGCTTGTTTACTGTTTGTATTAACAGCTTTATTGATTTGACATCCAATAAGCTGCACAAATTGAAAGCGTACATACAGTATGTTCAGTTTGTATGTACATGTACACCACGAAGCCATCACCACGTCAATTTAGTGACTATATCCCTTGTCCCCAAGAGCTTCTTTGTGTTATGCCTGTTTTAAAGCTGTGTAACCTAGGCGCAGTGGCTCATACCTGTAATCCCAGCACTTTGGGAGGCCAAGGTGGGAGGATTGCGTGAGGCTGGGAGTTCAAGATCAGCCTGGGCAACATAACGAGACCCCATCTCCATAAAAAATTTAAAAATTAGCTGGATATTGTGGTGCACACCTAAAGTTCTAGCTACTCAGGAGGCTGAGCTAGGAGGATCGCTTGAGCCCAGGAGTTGGAGGCTGCAGTGAGCTATGACTGAAAAACAAGCTATGCTTTGAAGTCTCTTCTCTCTGAACCCTTTCCCTGGTTTGTCACCCTCTCAGGGTTCCAAGGTGGGCAAGTTGACCCTCAAGACCACAGAGATGGAGACCATCTATGACCTGGGCACCAAGATGATCGAGTCCCTGACCAAGGACAAGGTCCAGGCGGGGTGAGCTCTTGGGGGCCCTGCCAGGCGGCCAGGACCATGGGAGAGTGTGGGCCCTTCTTCTCCTCACTCCTGCCTTCCCTCCCGTTCGCAGGGACGTGATCACCATTGACAAGGCAACAGGCAAGATCTCGAAGCTGGGCCGTTCCTTCACACGTGCTCGTGACTACGACGCCATGGGCTCTCAGGTACACGCAGGGCTCTGGGGACCCCTTCCCCCCAGCACTGGATGTTTCCATCTCCTCCATCACCCTCATGGCCCACGGGGTCTGGATCCTCCTGTTACCCTGACCCCTATGTCCCTGGTACTCCTGGGTCTTCCCTGTAACCCTGGGACATTTGGGACCCCTCAACCTGGCAGTACAACTTCCCACTGCCCCCTGTTGCCCACGGTTTCTGAGGTCCTCCAGGAGTCCCCATAACTGTGGATCTCTGGAATGCCCCTAGTTTTTTTTTTTTTTTTTTTT